AGTTGAGTAACAAGACATCTAAGCACTTCTGCTCAACTATGTGGATCAGTGTCATTTTGATGGCAATAGGTTTAGTTGTGCAAGGTTAGTTGTTACTATATATATATATATATATATATATATATATATATATATATATATATATATATATATATATATATATATATATATATATATATATATATATATATATATATATATATATATATATATGTATATATATATATATATATATATATGTATATATGTATATATGTATATACGTAAATATATATATATATGTATGTATATATATATATATGTATTTACATAATATATATATATATATATATATATATATATATATATATATATATATATATATATATATATATATATATGTCTTGTTAGTTATTGTTACGTCCCTTAGCATTAAGTACATGGTAGTTACGTCCCTTTTATACTCAGTGTAGCTGATAGATGGCTAATGTGTAGGCTACCTGTGAGGATATAAGAATAAAGTACTAAGGTTACCTTGAGCAAGTCTCTTTATATTAGGAAATCAAGTAGGCCTAATCTAATATAGATGAATGTGTGTGGATGTGCTAATATTTATTTTTGTGTGTGTAATGTCTTTAAAAAAACGATTTTCTTCTTTCATTTAAGCCCAGTCTGACTACTTAATAAGACAAAGAGATTATCAGGCTTTTGATGAGACAAAATGGACACCTCTTACACTTAATGTAGTGTTTGAAAAGGTCAGCGTTTTAACCTGCGCTAGCTATTGTTTAAGCTCAGACGTGCCCTGCTACAGCATCATCTTCGATGAAAAAAGAGAACACTGCACTTTGGGTGAGCTCTTAAGATATGGCTCTTAGAAGCACACACTACTGTAAGTCGTTAAACATCCTACAAGGCAAAGTCAAGACACCTCACACACCAACACATACTTAAATCAATTAATTAATTAAAACGACCGTCCTTTCGTCCATCTCATCTCTTCGCCCATTCATCCATCTATCAATTCATCGATCAATCGATTAAATGTTTAAAAAAAAATAATATAAAAGAAAAAACAAATAAATACATACTATAAATAAATAATTTTTAAATATATAATATATATATATATATATATAAATAAATAAATAAATAAATAAATAAATAAATAAATAAATAAATAAATAAATATATATATATATATATATATATTATATATATATATATATATATATATATATATATATATATATATATATATATATATATATATATATATATATGTATATATATACTATCCTTCGGTACCCTTTACACGTGAATTATAGGCCTATATTTTAATGTTATAGTTGTTTGAGAAAAATATATTATATTATATTATTAGCCAAAACAACACCATATTTAAAGCACACACTGATTAAGAAACTTAAATGGTTCTGTTAAAAACCAGGCTGTGCAATCGTGTTTATGTTGTTTTTTAAAGTAATTTGTATTACATTTGGCAATTGTATACATTTCATTGCGTACGTCTTGATAAGTAGATCTATATATCTAAATCAAATTTGAATGAAATAGTTCATTTCTTCATATTCTAAAATGGGAAGAAGACGCCATTAGCTTTGTGTACTTTCCGTAGTTTAAACATGTGACGTCACTGTTTTATGCGTTCTTGTCACAAGGTTAGTGCCCATTTGTAATCAGAATTCGTCTCAACACTATGAGTGCACGCTTTGTTTTTTTTTATATTTTAAAACTAAGGTAAAATATAACACATTTGACAAACATACCCAATACGCGATTGATCTTTATTCCGATATGCTGAAAATAGTTAAAAATTGAAGACACAAATGAACTACTGCGATAAACATTACCATGCGAAAGAAAAAGTGGCCGGCAAACGAACAGACATAACAAAAAAAAAACTTGCTGAAAGCTGTAAGAGGATCTAAATCGACAGTGGTAGTTAAAATTTGAGCAAGTTCATCAAATTTGCACTTGTTGTGAGCTACGGTCATTTAAGACAACATGACAGATAGATAATCAATTGAAGAAATGTATTTGGCAATGATTTTTATAAATAAAAAACATTTTAAAATATTTTTAATTATTTATCAGGTTCCTGGCTAGTCCCACTGACTGATGTTTCCAAACAAGTCGAGGGGCAGATTTTCTCCAGTGGGGAGATCTGCAACACAACCCAAAACATTACTCTGTTGTCTAATGGCTCTCTCTCACAAACTGACTTGTTTGCCTGTACAGGTGATGTAGATTTGCTACTGATCAATGTTCGCATTTTTACAAGCTTTTATTTAACTCACTTCCTCGTCAGTCGTCAGTCTGTCTGTCTAGATCGAAACGGGCGAGCGAAACTGCAGGCACTTCTAACTGACATATACTGTTCGTAATTTTACGTGGGTCAAGACATGAAGACAATCCATCATGACATTCAATTTGACTTAATTTGTCGCCTGATTAATAATAATAATAATAATTAAAAATGTGACCAAATTATTAGGCAGTTCTATCCAACTACTCCATACGCGTCATCACGTTCAATATTCCATCTGCTCTTTGTCAGACTGCTCATGAGTAATAATTTTTACTAATTTGGTAAATAATTCTCTAGTATATAATTAGTGTTTGTAAAATACCCTGTCTTTTTAATCAATAAAACAAAATGAAACAAAAATATCTTGAAGACTTGAAACTGAATCTAATTAAATAAAAATTGTTTATGTTATATAAGAGTTTGCTCTAGGAGATTGGAGTAGATTGATAAAAAACATATAAATATAGGTGATCTTCATTACATATATTTCAATCACAGGCCTATGTAGGACGACACACACACACACAAATATATATATATATATATATATATATATATATATATATATATATATATATATATATATATATATATATATATATATATATATATACATTTGTATTTATACATATTTATCTATATTTATGGATATATATGCACTTACGTCGTTTCTTGGGGGGGGGGGGGGGTGACACTACGATGTGCCTCACCTGGTGATACCCGACATAGCGACGCCACTGAGCCTAGGCTGAATTTATTTGTTTTACTTGATTTGTTTTTAGTGTTTTTCATTATTTGCTGTGTGGGTTTGTGGTCTTATGTTTTAACAACAATCGACACCTTTCTAAATGTATCGATTGTTTTTAAACTTTCATTTTAAATTATTCTTTAAAATAACAACGCAAAAAGATTAAATGTTAATATAACAAAAGTTATATTAGCAATGAACAGTTAATGAAAAACATACTAAAATCAATGCAAAATAGATAATTCTAGAAAAATATTAATCATCATCACCCCCCCCCCCTGCTGGAGTGTGAGCCGCCAGTTAAAGATCTCCAGAGCCTAATGTCCTGTGCCATTTTCTCAACCTGACTCCAGTTGAAGCATATTTTTTTTCAGCTTCAAGGTTCCATAGCCTTGATATTAGGTTTTATAAAAATGTATCATTTAAATTTATTTTATAATTTTAACTGATACAGTCAAATATAATGCTTTCTAAAATGAATTTCCTGATACTTTTTTGTTTATTCTATAACAACTACAATAGGTAAATTAGAGAAAACTGCTGAAACAACAACAATGATAACTGATTGCGAACAATTCATACAAGATAAAAAACAATATAAAGAATGCTTGTTGTAAGTATTGTTTATTTTGGTTTTATAATTAAATATATTGAAACAAAGTATTCTTTTAATATACACAAGGAAATACGTTTGTATACACATTATTTGTTTTGCACAAAAACTTTTATTACATTTTGTAAAGTAATTTTAAAAATTGTCTCACAAGTCTTAATTATAATATTTTTTTAGGCTTATTGGTTTGACAACTACGGCCACACCATAGGAACGTAACGAAGAAATTGTAAGGATGCACTTTATTCAGACACAAAAAAGACACGGATGAATTCATTTGGTTTAAAATCAACACACATGACGCTAACCTTCTGTATCGACTTTAGCTAATATTTAAATGTACCATTGAAAAAATGGCTGGTTCAATGTATAGTGTTTGTTTGATGGTGTCTGTGTCGTGTATAGCATAATATTACTCATTAGGCATGAAGTAAAGAAACTAAAAAAAATAATTACGCGTTAAAAAATATAACTTTAATTAAATTAAAACATAAGCAAGCGAACGTTTTATAGTGTCTATTAATACTAATAGTTTCGCTGTCTGTCTATCTGACAAGAACGCTCTGTCTGACAAGAACGCTCTGTCTGACAAGAACGCTCTAGAGAAAACACAAGCAAAATAAAAACATGCACAGTAATTCGAAAAACGAAATGTGACGTCGACACATTTAGCGTAGAGTAGAACATAATCTCAAACCAGAGAGTGCACACAGTAATGTAATGACGTCATTCATTCTCGCGTAAACATTGAAAAAAAGGAAATGTTGTCTAATCTAAATGGTTTGCGTGAAGAGTTTCTTGCATACAATTCTTCGGGTAGGGGCGAAGCCCCACCCCCCGCGTAAGAACGTCCTGAGCCCCCCCCCTCCCCAACTCAAAAGAAATTTCCTCATCGATACTCTATAATAAAATTACCGCCTAATTAATGTGTCTAATCTAAAAAGTGGTTTTTCTTGCAATGGGACGGTAGACATGTTTTTTTTTGGGGGGGGGGGGGGGGGGGGGGGGGTGGTTGTGGGGGGGGGGGGGTTGGGGGGTGGGGGGGGGGGTGTGTGGGGGGGTGGGTTGGTTTCAGTGTTTCTTTCAGACTTTTTCCTCCCCGGAGAGGGGGTGGGGGTACTTGAAATTTTCGGGGGCGGGGGTAGAATTTTCTGGGAGGGGGCGGACACTGGAAAAAGTATATAACTATATTTCGTTGAATGGGACGGTAGACATGTTTTTTTTGGGGGTGGGGGGGTGGTGGAGGGGTGGGGGGGTGGTGTGTGTGGGGGGGGGGGTGGGGGGGGGTGGTGTGTGGGGGGGGGGGTGGGGGGTGGTGTGTGGGGGGGGGTGGTGTGTGTGGGGGGGGGGGGGGGTGGGGGGTGGTGTGTGGGGGGGGTGGGGGGTGGTGTGTGGGGGGGGTTGGTTTCAGTGTTTTCTTTCAGACTTTTTCCTCCCCGGAGAGGGGTGGGGGTACTTGAAATTTTCGGGGGCGGGGGGTAGAATTTTCTGGGAGGGGGCGGACACTGGAAAAAGTATATAATTATATTTCGTTGAATGGGACGGTAGACATGTTTTTTTTGGGGGGGTGGGGGGTGGGGGGGCGGTGTGTGGAGGGGGTGGTGTGTGGGGGGTGGGGGTGGGTGGGGGGGTGGGGGTGGTGTGTGGGGGTGAGGGGTTGGGGGTGGGGTGGTGTGTGGTGGGGGGTGGGGGTGGTGTGTGGGGGTGGGGGGGGTGGGGTGGGGGTGGTGTGTGGGGGGGGTGGGTTGGTTTTAGTTTAGAGAAAAGAGACAGCACTATCAGCCTAGCGCCCGTTGTACCCTTCCTCAACGGGCCATTTTTCTCGTATTTTAATAAAAATGATGAAAAGAAGTGCATTTTAAAAAGAAGTTATATGTTTCAAATAATAGTAGTCATTGGGCGTCACCTTCTGTAAAATTCAGCATTTTTGAATTTTCATTAGTTACTCTCAAACAGTGACATTGAAATAAAGCGTGGACGTGCACATGGACAATGATATAGTTGTCAAAGTATGTTTATATTATTGAGATACATAGCTGTGGTGGTGGGTACTTTGAATAACAGCACAACAAACACAAATAGTAAATAGAAACAAAAACAGCTCGAATTGAAACTTTTTGGTACTCAACATGTCATTCATTGGTTGATCTATATGTAATAAAAATGTGGAGCATACATAGCTTGTCAAAGCTTTCGGAAATGATGACTTAAATAAAGAATAGGAACCGTTTGCCCTCTCATACTTTGTTTTGCATGTCTCGTCCGAAATTCTGACAAGGGCAATGTCCGCAACAATACACGCAACAATACACGACAAGAAAGAAGCTCTAACCTTAAAAATAAAAACACGACGGACATAACATCCACAAGCCTCCTACAAGCCTCCAGCATCCACAAGCCTCCAAAACAGTGGCAAAAAACTTGGGTGTAAAAATTTTACCTTATTCTTTGGTGACGTAAACCAAAACGTAAACCTAAACCTAAACCTAAACCTATACATAAACCTAAACCTAAACCTAAACCTAAACCTAAACCTAAACCTAAACCTAAACCTAAACCTAAACCTAAACCTAAACCTAAACCTAAACCTAAACCTAAACCTAAACCTAAACCTAAACCTAAACCTAAACCTAAACCTAAACCTAAACCTAAACCTAAACCTAAACCTAAACCTAAACCTAAACCTAAACCTAAACCTAAACCTAAACCTAAACCTAAACCTAAACCTAAACCTAAACCTAAACCTAAACCTAAACCTAAACCTAAACCTAAACCTAAACCTAAACCTAAACCTAAACCTAAACCTAAACCTAAACCTAAACCTAAACCTAAACCTAAACCTAAACCTAAACCTAAACCTAAACCTAAACCTAAACCTAAACCTAAACCTAAACCTAAACCTAAACCTAAACCTAAACCTAAACCTAAACCTAAACCTAAACCTAAACCTAAACCTAAACCTAAACCTAAACCTAAACCTAAACCTAAACCTAAACCTAAACCTAAACCTAAACCTAGACCTAAACCTAAACCTAAACCTAAACCTAAACCTAAACCTAAACCTAAACCTTGCTTTAGCCCCAACCTTAAACCTAACTGTTACACTCAACTTTCTAAGTAATTTTGGCACGTTTGACGCTACACCACACTGCTTACACACTCCCTCGTTCACACACTTGTTTTTCACGCTAGCACACCACTTCCAAGGGGAGGCCACTCTCACACACACTCTCTCCGTGCCTACACATTTTCGTATAGACATCTACGTCACACTAATCCTAACCCCAGCCCTAACCTTAGCCCTAGTCCTAGCTAAGCAGGGGGGTGTCCTGGGGGTAATTGACGGGGGGGGGGGGGGGTAATGACTTGTTCCGTCTAATATTATACGCCTCTCTACCAGCTGCACTGTAGCGTATAATTTAACACACTGCGGTCTTGTTCTATCTGCTGCGTTGGTAACATTTTCCAAATTTGTATTCTGAAACATAATTTCATTAGTTCCCTCTTTATCTACAATGCAACAAGCAAACAGTAGTCTTGTCTGTGTGTTTTGGATCAACTTGTAACTCTGTCTTCAGACATCTCCATTTTGCAACTAGGATTCCAAATGCACATTCTACTGTACGTCTGGCTCTACTATGTCTGTAATTGTAAGCTTCAACATCATGTGGAACTGTTGCTCAGTCTAAGCTGTATGGCGCTAAAGGTAATATGTTAAAGGATATCCTTGATATCCTCGTGTAACATATGAAACATTAAAAGTGGTTCCAGGTATTTGTCTTGCTTGAGGGAAAGGAACAAAACCTTTTCAATGTGTTTGTACAGGTTAGACCAGAGGCGTAGCGAGGGGGGACATATGTCCCCGGGCGCCGACCTTAAGGGGGGGCGCCAAAATGGGTTTGAAAAACAAATTGAAAGTTTATGGGGTGTGCAAATCAAAAGTTTGAGGGGGGTGCAAATCGGAAGTTCGAGGGGGGGGGGGGGTGCAAATCGATCGAAAGTTTGTCCCCGGGCGCCGGGAAGGGTCGCTACGCCTCTGGGTTAGACTATAAAAAACACCACTGTCAATCGGTCAATATGATTTAAAGTCTACTCTTAAAAAATTGTATTTAGCATCTACCGATTCTTGAAGGATTAGTGAGTCAAATGATTTATATTTAAAGTGTTTGAACCCGATAATTTTGACATCAATGTATCCAACACTGTTTGGGATGTCTCTGTCACATGGCTCCCACATTACAACTGCTGGTAATGCCATATTATACTTTTCAGTGAATCAACTCCACAAAAAAAAAATATTCTTGGCGATAGTTGATTGGGCGATTCGATATGAAAAGGTGAAAGATATGAAAGTCAATCCAGTTGATAGGTTACCGGAACATTAATTAATTCACATTAACTTTGAAAGCGGGCTTGAATATTGAATGGGTACTTAATAGATCTGCGCTCTTTTAAAGGGACATTACAGCCTAATTTGCAGCTTAGATTTTACTTATTTTAATGTATAGCACACAACTGTAATTTGACCTCGGCATATGAAGAGATAGTGTGGTCAGCACTATGCCCAGCCGCCTTTAATTTTCCAAACGTGAGTTAGGTACCCATCAGAGTTTGGTGGACTCAGGGACGGTCTACTGACTTGAGAAAGTTTAAGTGAGATCACTCCCGGTTTATTCAGTTTGTAAAGAAGAGTAACGTAGTTATTGATTAAATGATATATAAGTTATCAGCATGCAATAGAGGAATCAATGTCTATTTTATGCTTGCTTATCAAAACAACTATGCTAAAAAATCATTTTTTTTATTAATTTAAGTGTTAATTCATTATTTAAGCGCTAATTCTAGAAACCATTAAATACGATATAGAAATAAATAGGCAATAAATTGAACAAACACATTCTATACTGATGTAATAGATTCCTACTAACGATATTGTAAGTAGAGATTTCTCTTCGGACCTAACGGTTCATTTAGGAAGATGAAGCAGTGTTTATATGTTTCTTGACCTCGGCAAATGAGGGGAAAATGTGATCAGCTCTATGCCCAGCCGTATTTACTTTCTCCAACATGAGTTAGGTACCCATCAGAGCTGGGTAGACTCAGCGACTTGCCACTAACTGGAACCCGAACTCGAAACTTGCGAGTTAGCAATCTAGCACTCTTTCACAAGGCCCATAATATTGCACTAGACTATTAATTTAACATTTATACTTTTATCAAATAATAAGTTGTTTGCAATTAACACTACTAAAACGACATTTAAAAATTCTCCTTTCAATGCAAAAAAAAGTAAAAAAAAAAACAACAACAAAAAGAGAAATGTGTAAGTTGACAATTTTATTTCCAAAGAAATCAATTTCAACTAACTTATACTTTATTAGTCAAATGATTCCTATATTTGAATAAGTAAAACCGTATAGTCGAAACAAAAGTGCACTCAAAAGTAGAAGAGAACTGAATGCAAGTAAGCAAACGTTTAATAAACATTTTTTTTTCATAATAAATGCAGTTTGTAAATTGTTGATGTGTGAGTTTTAAAAATAACAAAAAATTTGCAAAACAAAATAAGGAAAAAGTAAGATAAACTTGTAACATTTAAGAAAAAAACCCATTTATTCCCTATGCATAATTATAATGTAAAAATATGTTAAAGAGAAATTATAACCGCCCAAATCTTGTGTAATGTTTAATTGACGCGTTACGTTGTTAAAAATTAAAGAGATTAAATAGATTTTAATGTTTAATACATTCCTTATTATATGAAATGCTGGAGATTTTCCTGCATAGTTAAAATAGTTGTGTGACATGATTTCATAAACGCTTACATGAAAAAGGTTATAGGTCTCTCACTGTGGTTATATAAATATGTAAAGTTGTGTTAAAACTGGTGATTATTAGTTTTTATTATATTATATTTTTCAACACTATAGTAAACTGCGTAAAATAATTTTAACTTTACGCGCTATTTGACTTAGCTGGTAAGTAGTAGGTTAAAGGAAGAGTGATTAAGAGTTATTGTGAGAAAGAAAAATAGGCGGAGTAGAGTTGGGTAAAATCTAATATATATATATATATATATATATATATATATATATATATATATATATATAAATTAAAGTATGTTTGTTGGTGTGTTTTTGGATCTGTCCTTTATGCATTACTACACTTTTCATCCGATTGCCGTGAAACTTTGGAAAGCTGATGAGAATATTACAGGGAGGCTTTTGCAACGCAAGTCTTTACCATCTACGGTATACAAAAAAAATAGTCGGATTCGGTATGACACCCAGTGGCGTAGCCAGGATCGTCTCAAGGGGGGGGGGGGGTTCCAATTTTTACCCGGGACAAACTTTCGATTTGCACCCCCCCCCCCCTCAAACTTTTGATTTGCACCCCCCCTCAAACTTTCGATTTGCACCCCCTCATACTTTTTATATATACCGAGGGGTCTATGGGGGGGGGGGGGTTATGACCCCCCTAACCCCCCTGCCTACGCCACTGATGACACCGATCACTGAGTGCCATAAAACATTTAGGAGTTAATGACAATACTCATGAGTATTTGTTTTATGAAAAAATAAATTACAGTTTTTTTAAGGGCGGCGCTCTCTATATACGTTTTGGCGCCCAGATGTTCATAATCGCGCTCTTAATACTTGGTTTCCCTTAATTGAGAGACCTGCATAGCAAGTCAGGGGTAATTATTGATTCAGCGCTAAAAGTGCATCAGGCGCATCCGCCGACGTTCTGGCGATCGAATGACCAGAAACGCTCCGGGCTTCCACATGAGCAGTATATCGCCTAATTTCGTTTTAAAAAAGGGCTGTACAATAATCGTTGTCAATATCGAATCAGGCGTGTCGTCAGTCGTTATCGCAGGGGGCGGATTGGTACTAAGAAGCCTACGTTCGTTTTAAAGAGCACCTTAAAATAGGAACATGGTAGCACACGACATTTGATGATTAAACTTAGTCGGGGGCGTTACCCGGTGCCCTGCTGTAGTGAAACTTGAGTCTCCCGATAGCGTCTTCACACCTTGGTGGTCGCTGAAGTGTGTTCTACTTCACTATTACGGAAGGTGATTAACGTACACTCTAGGCTTTCACACAGCCGCCCCAAGCGTCTGGGGTTTAATTTGGATCAACCCGCACCTCAACCGTTACGATCCAATTCATATAGCTCTTACTTTGCTTACATTGAAATAACTTGGTTATAGAATATATTATAAGGTCACGCGTTTAAAAATACAGGATTGGGAACGCATTGATGAAATCCTCTTGAAATATTGCATTAACTTAATATATAAGGAAATTAAAAAAAACAAGTTAATGAAAAGTCTAGTGACAATTTAAGCGCAATTTCCTTATGTTATCCATAACAATTTTAAATTTTGTGACCGAACGAAAGGATATTTTTGAAAACTTTCTTCTGAAATATTGTTCTTAATTATGACAGAAATCGATTGGTAAATGTTTCAAGTCGCTAAGTGGTCTGGTTGCCGAGATATGGAGCAAAAACTGCATTTTTTCGAGTTTTTTTGGCTTTTCCGGGAAATCCAGGAAGGAATTCCGGGATTTTTTTTGGCCCACAATTATCCTTGGAACTTGCTTAACATATTTGCTTTGGAACTAGTCCTCGATATTGCTTCGTTGAGGAGGAGATACGACTTAAAGCTGCGGACTTACATCCATCCATCCATCCAGAAATAACGAATTAATAATCGCAATTGTCAGTATGGAAATTGCGCTAAAAAATACTTGTTAGAAATTTATATAAAAAGTTACATGAAAAGGAAATGATCAACCAACCACCAAAATAAAAAGGTGTATTTTATGTTGTTTGTTATGCTTATAAATTATATTCATTTTGCCCTTCTCCAAATTCAAATTTATGAAGATCTGTTTAACAATTACGATATGGCACATAACAGTTAGCAGATGATAAATGCGTACGTTCTTTGGTCAGGGAACAAGAGCATCTCAGATGCAGGTAACATTGAATGAACACATGTTTTGGCCGTAGAGTCATAAGAATATCCAAAACATTTCGGTTTCAGTGAGCAAGAAGTAAAACATTCCTGTGGTTGAGAATATAGGTAGTGTTAATTGACATGTTTATATAGGCTACATTTAGAGATTGTCTGAGACATTTAGAGACAGTGTCTGAAGATGTTGTGTTGAATCGAAATTAGATGTGTTGTTTATATATATATATATATATATATATATATATATATATATATATATATATATATATATATATATATATATATATATATATATATATATATATATATATATATATTGATTTGATATTGGATTCTTGCGTCGATTTTTACTTATAATTAAATCTCGCTTTATGTTAAAAATTACATTGTGGTAGAGGTTTGACCTGCTGAAAAGATTACTATAATTCGGTCGAGTAAAAGTGATCTTTTTTGAGAAATCAGAATTAGTGAAAAGTACTTCTTCCGGTCGACGGAAATACTAAACATTTACTAGAATCAAGAGAATAATATCTTAAAAATAGCTTTAAAATTTCGTTCACTTAACTGAAACGATAATCAAATTATCGTTGTTTTAGAAACCACAAATAGAGTAAATTACCAGTTTCGGTTATTGGAGGTCATAAAAAAATTAAAATTAATCCAAGCATAATGTTTTATACTTACTTATGAAATATTGTAAACTTAACTGAAGCAGTATACAAGATATCGTGTTCTCACGGACATAGGTTATATTACCATTGAGATTTTTAAAGTTTAAAAAAATACTTGCGCTTACAATGTAACACTAAAATGTGGCATTTCGTGTACTTGACTTAAACGGTGCTTTAGCTATTGGCTTTTGAGAAACCGAAAAAAGAATAAGGACCCTTTTTTTGGTTAAAGAAAATAGCTCAAAAGCTTATATATAAATACAAAATTGATTTTATATATATATACATATATATATATATATATATATATATATATATATATATATATATATATATATATATATATATATGAAATTACGTCAACCTAAACGGATATCGTTTTGCTGGCACTCGATATATATATATATATATATATATATATATATATATATATATATATATATATATATATATATATATATATATATAATATATATATTATTTTTATTTTGTTATCGAAAAATTTATGTTTTCAGTTTTACCTTATTAGTATTGGAAATGAACGCTGCTGTATCCTGGAGACCGACGCCGAATCTTTTACATTGTCCTAGAATCATAGTAATTTAATGATTTTTTATTTTGCATAAATGTACACAAAGCTTACAACAACATACATTTAAAAAAAATATATATTTAGAGAAATAATATCTTGTTATTCTCCCAGAAAATCTTCATATTGAATGGCAGCTGGCTTATTTTATGGTTTAAGTCGTTTTCAAACAAAAGTTTTTTTTTTTTATTTCCATCCTGGCCGCATAGATAACTTTGACAACAATATTAGATTATTTCTTTTTATAAGTTTCAGTGTGAAATCAGTTTCAAGCTTTGTAACAAAACGATGTTTCTCATTTGGGCATAATTTCTTACAATATTTTAGAAGGATAAAAAAACAAAATATTAACTTTTGTTTTTTTAATAGCATTTCATCAAAACATCGCGGGTAAATGTGCAGTTAAGGTTCACTTTTGTAAATTAATGTTCAGTTTTTTTAGCAGAACTTTTTCTCCCTAACAATTTTAATATACAATTCGATAATATTACAATTTAACTAACTATGCCGAACGTTTCACATTTCTAACTCAACACTAGTAACTTTTTTGCAATTGGAAAAGGATATGCTGTGACGTAGCAAGGATTTTGTTGTTTGTAAGCGGCCAGTGCACATTTAGCGTCAGTCTCTCTCTCTCTCTCTCTCTCTCTCTATATATATATATATATATATATATGTATGTATATATATATATATATATATATGCTTTAATGATGTAGCCTATATATAATTTGACATTTGCCCTGAAAAACCGATTGAATATAGTAAATTCTTGAAGAAATAGTTTGAAAAATTTGTAAATCTCTAGACAATATGGAATTCCCCTTGCATCATTAAAATGAACTCAGTTAAAAACACTGACATCTAATTGCGGTATATGTTCATCTCGTTAAAGAAAGTGAGTAAATAGATCTAGATGGCGCCAATATTTTAATCGCGGTATCTATCTGTCACTTGTTAACAGTTGTGTAAACTGTTTTTAAAATGTTTGTACCAATTAATAGGTTTCTTAAATTTCATTTTCACTAAATACGATAAAGAAAAAAATCTAAAAACCTGTAGCATTCCGACAGAACATATACACGTCTGTATCTACTTCAACACTTGTATCAATCCCAATTCCACCAAATATGAATAGTTCACACACACTGCCAACGCTATAAGCGTATCCATAGCAATAATAGTTTGCGACACATTTATCATAGCAAGCCTGTTTGAGGTTTTAGAAAAGTTAGAAAAATGAAACATCACTTGAAAGTTAAAACAAATTGTTGTTTAGTTTCACGAACTGTGATAATAATCCAATAAAATTTATATATGAAAAAAAAAAGAATCACAAGACAATCAATGTTTTTTAGGGTTATCAAGAACACTTTTGCGTCAAACACAATGCTTATATCAAGCTCTTTATAAAAGTACTTGAAAGCAGTAGCGTAGCGAGGGGGGCGGGGGCGGGGGGGGGGGGGGACATATGTCCCTGGGAGCCGACCTTAGGGGGCGCCAAAATGGGTCGGAAAAATAAATTGAAAGGGTGAGGGGGTGCAAATCGAAAGTGTGAGGGGGGTGGAAATCGAAAGTTTGAAGGGGGGGGGGGTGCAAATCGAAATCTTGAGGGGGTTTGGGGGGGGGGGGGGTGGAAATCAAAAAGTTTGTCCCCGGTCGCCGGGAAGGGTCGCTACGCCTCTGCTTGAAAGTATTCCAAGCAACGATTGCACGTGCTCAAAATACACGCTGTGGTGAAAACTAAAGCCGATTCAATTAATGCATTCTCATTTGACGAAGTAGACATCACCATGATTGAAAATGAATGTTTTAACAGTCAAATGTAAGGTGAATGCATGTTTCGAGTATGTTTGGTAAAAAGGCGATATAAATCTAAAATATAGTGTGGGTGTGCGCATGCGCTAAAAAAAAGGAAGCAAAGAAGGAAGAGAGCGGGAAGAAAATTGCGATGTTTTGGCAGTGAAGTCGTTGTGTCAATGAACCAATAAAATCATGAAAATTTCCTGAACGTGGGTTGTTTAATGTTATAAATCAGACTATAAAATGTAATAACAAAGGAGGAGAGAGGAGAGCGGTTGGTATTTGTTTTTTGAGTTCGTGCCATGATTGGCAGCAGAAAGGCCGTGACAAATGTAGAAAACAAACTATTGTTTTACATGAAGCGATTAGCACCATATTGAGTGTGGTAGTACCGCATAAGTTATACGACGCAATGAAATATCAACCGATCTTTCGTCATGATGAGGATGTATGAGAATTAAAACCATTAATACTAATCCAACTAACATCAAAAGCCTATTTAAACAAATGTGTCTGCAATGAGTTACTATACTTACAGGTTAGTGATTAAAGAAAGGTAAAATACATCCACTTATTTAACTAACGATAGTTGTCTTGATCCTAGTTCATTGTTGAAATGAATGTCAAAATTAAGAATCAACGGCTAAACCAAACAAAGCTTTATGACTGAAGAGTATATACATTTCAAATGTTCAGTTTACCTTGATGAAAATTTTAACGATACAATTACATATTGCTAGAACAGTTTGAAATCTTCTTCAACTAAAGCGTTATTTATACATAGTCTGTATGAAGTGATTTGCAGAGAGGATGGGAGAAGATGTTTTGTCGACAGCGGAATCTAACTTGACTTAGAAAACAACACGTATAACACGGTTTGCCCGCTAGTATAAGCTTATATATTACCTGGTGTGATGTAGACAAGTATTTTGGTCTACTTCCTGATGGAAAGGCAGCACACGGTCCTTTAATAACACGCAAATATTAAACGGTAAATATATTTAATTTAGACACAATTATCATAAATAATAAGTCAAACAATGAAATTAAAATTAGTACTTAATAATCATAAATTGCATTTACAAAGTATATGTAATAATTTAAAATTTTTAATAAAGTCTGAAGATTAGTATACTCAAGTGGTATTAAATGTATTATTTAAATGCAGTGGCGTAGCCAGAATCATCTCATGGGGGGGGGGGGGGTTCAAAGTTTTACCCGGGGACAAACTTTGCACCCCCCCCCCGAAAAATTTCGATTTGCACCCCCCTCCCCTCAAACTTTCGACTTGCACCTCCCCCCTCAAACTTTCGATTTGCATCCCCCCTCAAGTTGTATACTAAAGTGGTATTACATGTATTATTTAATTGCAGTGGCGTAGCCAGAATTTCATGGGGGGGGGGGGGGGTTCAAACTTTTACCCGGGGACAAACTTTCGATTTGCACCCCCTAAAACTTTCGATTTGCGCACCCCTCAAACTTTGGACTTGCACCTCCCCCCTCAAACTTTCGATTTGCATCCCCCCTCAAGTTTTCGATTTGCAACCCCCCCCCCCCCCCCTCAAACTTTCGATTTGCACCCCCCCCTCATACTATATATAAATACCGAGGGGTCTATGGGGGGGGGGGGTTATGACCCCCCCTAACCCCCCCTGCCTACGCCACTGTTTAAATGTATTGATGTTGATTCAGGGTTAAATTTCCGGGGGCCAGGGATTGGACATGAGTTCATGTTGGGGACTAGATTATTTTAATTGAGGCGTGGGTCTTTGTGGACTTACGTTCGAAGGTTCGAACGATAAAAACAAAACGTTAAAAGAATAAACTCGGTAATACAAACAACTTACTGACACACTTGTTAGCGTATGATATGTTTATATTGTAGCCAGGATAGCATGAGCATGAGAAGCTTCCATTCGCGTTGGTGCAAATCTGCTCACATGTTCGTAGGCTCGTATTGCTACATTCATCGATGTCTGAGAAACATATTTGTGTTAAACGTATTATAGTAGAGTCACTATTAGCATAACGATATCTAGGGTTATAGTTGCGGTTATCAATAAGTGAATGATCGTCTTCAAATACATTTTATATAACATTTGTGGAAAAAAGAATATTTAATTTTTCTCGACATAAATATGTATTTTATGGTTCTACACATAGTGCAGATGCTTTCATCAAATTGAATATGCATTTCCACTAAAAAAAAATGGTGGAAAAATCTTGGTAACTATGACAATGGCGGCCATCTTGAAAAATTAACCCCTTCGTAGGTTTTCCACCATTCATAAAATATTACACTTTAAGCCCAATAAACAATCAATTCATAATATTCTTCCATATTTTGGGGTAATCAGCTAAAAATTTTAAGTGCATATCTTCAAACTAATTTTTTATGAATTTTCAAAATTTGTGTCCGTTCAAAACACTTAACTTTGGGGAATTTTGGGGCATTAAAAATAGAGTTTATAGAAAGTATTGTAATCATGCAAAAAAATAAAATGTAGTCTATGTAGAGTAAATATAAATAATCCTTGTTTTCTAACTCCAAATGGATTTATATCTGTACAAGGATATAAAAAAAAATAATTATGTATCCAAAAATGGAAAAAATATAATATTTAGTCAATTAATTAATTAATTACCTTGACACATATTAGGGTTTGTACTGTTTATTCTGTATCCTGAATTGCAGGAACACTCGAAACTTCCAATTGTGTTGGTACATGTATGCTGACATAATGTTTGATTGGAATCCGTGCATTCATTAATGTCTGAAATAGCAATAATTCGCTATATATTAAAATAAATGCTTTAACCAAAAAACAAAAGTAGGCTACTTGTGCAATCATGATGTTATATTTTGTTGTGACATGCTTAAGGTAAAATATTTCATGTTTTATTTAGCTGATTAAAAACAAAAACAAATACGTATGCATGTCATTGTAAATCAGTTATTATATATATATATATATATATATATATATATATATATATATATATATATATATATATATATATATATATATATATGCTCATTTTAAAGTGTGAAAAATGGTACACATTTAAATTGTATATGATTTAGACATATAATGCAGAAAATGACTTATGTGTCATAGAGGGAGTAGGGTTGTACAAATAGTAGAAAAAGCAAAACTAAAAAGCAGCCTATAATATAACAAGAGTAAACTTCAACATAAAATAACAAAAGCGTGCCATTGAAGATTAAACTATTTGGAATTTCTAGGGTTTGAAATAATTCGAAATTCATGAGCTAAGTGAACAATGACCTATATTAGTGACATTTACTTTTGTCTACAGTTATTTGCATGAGTCGTTTTTTTCGTAAGTCGAAACTGACTGCTGGTAATAGGTCCTAAATAGCGCACCATATTTACGCAAGTCCTATTGTATAGCTGCAGAATTGCGGCCCATTTTTTTGAGGGCTCTTTAATAAAATTGCTTTGAAGTAGTTGCATACATGTTCTTAAGGTTGAAATACCTAGACATGTTTCTTACATTCCCCCACTCCTCTCCAACTTCTTCCCTTGAAGTAATATTTAATTAGGTAAAATATCTAAAATTATTGTTAAAAGAAAATTACAACAGAACAATTGATTTTAGTTGAGTTTATTTTAATTGAGTTTATTTTAAATAAACCGGGGGTAATCTCCCCTAAACTTTCTCGAAAATTTTTAGATAACACTACCGAAATGGAACCTCGGAATAAAGACATGATTTTCAATCCATTTTGAATAACTTGAATTCTTTAAAATAGAATAGAATCTCGTAGAAAAAAGTGTTGCACACCTAGTGAATGCCAAACAATCTGTGTATAATAATGCGGAATATTATTAGTACTTTATAAATTCACATTCTTTTTTTTTTTGAGAAATCGGAAATAGCTTAAATTACTACGAAAATTACTCCAAATTTGACGGATGGCAGAGAATTAGACATTTTACTTACATGTGACATTTCATTTATCTATCAATAAAAGTAGCCTACTCAAGTTATAGGCTTTTGAAAAATTGAAAGTAGCATAAGTTCCACTTCCGATTATCGGAAATCGCTGAAAAGTTGATACAGCACTACACATTTGATATCATACTTGTAAATGAAATTTCATCAACCTAGCTGTAACGGTACTCAAGTTATCGTGTTTACACACACATAAACACACACAACACATTCACGGACATACAGACATAATTGCAAAGTCCAGTTTTTCCGACTGGATTATGCATAATGCGCAAAAATTTTGTTATATCTGGATTTATAAATTTTCCAGATTAAAATAAGTCCTCTATACTCAGGATGTGATGAAAGACTGAGGTATAAAGCGGTAAAAACTGTCAAAATTTCATGTGATTTTTGTGCACGACTACAATACTTACACAGTACTCTGTATACGAGAAAGTAAAAAGCTAGGTTACCAACATTTTGAGGCGTGTAGTCAATGGTACGTATATAAAAACTCAAACTGAAGACACATAGCTCTAATAACTTCATGATATAGATAGATCTACTTCTTGTTGTCTAATTGTTTATGGATTTAATATCTATAAAAATTAATTTAAATATAATGTAATGTTTAGTCATTTAATTAATAAATTACCTTGACACATGTTAGTGTCTGTACTGTTTATTCTGTATCCTGAGTTGCATGAACACTCATAGCTACCTATTGTGTTGGTACATGTATGCTGACATATTGTTTGATTGGAATCCGTGCATTCATCAATGTCTGAAATAGTGATGTTTCTTGAAATATTAAAATAAACGCTACAAGAAAAAACTAAAATTTGTATGCACTAGCTATGTTATATTTTTTTGAGACAATTCCCCTCGCCCTCCTCCCCCCACCCCCCCCCCCCCCTCCCTCGGAGTTAAAATATTTCACGTATTTTAAGAAGCTAAACTAAAAAAAAGGTATGCATATCCATGTAAAAATGTTACTTATATATATATATATATATATATATATATATATATATATATATATATATATATATATATAAATATATATATATATATATATATATATATATATATATATATATATATATATATATATATATATATATATATATATATATATATATGTATGTATACACACATTAAATAGTGTGGAAATCATATATGATTTATTCATATATTGCAGATAACAAGGTGTGTGCGAAGAAGGAAAATGGTTGTACAAATAGAATAAACATGGAAAACAAACAAAACGACATGATTTCAGAAGTTTACATTAGACAGTTGGAAGTAATAGAGCTTTATGTCTCTCCTTAAAATCTGGATAGTTACCATGTGTACGGCTTTAGCTCAAAGTTTGAAAGAATTGCATTGAAAATTAGGGCTTAAATGTTTTCGAGACTCACAAGCTAAGTGCGCAAAGACTTTTATTAGTGACTTTCACTTTTGTCCAGAGCTATATTTGCAAGAGCGGTTTTTTTCCCGTTAGCCGTACTGACTGCCGGTAATAGGCCTTAGATAGCGCACCATATTTACAATAGTCCAATTATATAGCTGTATAACTGCTGTCTTTTTTTCGAAGGTTCTTTAATAAACTTGCTTTGAAGTAGTTGCATACAGGTTCTTAAGGTTGAAGTTCCTAGACATGTTTCTTACATTTCCCTTCTCTCTTCTCGAACTTCTTCCCTCAAAGTCATATTTAATTAGGTAAAACACTTTTAATTTATTGTTAAAAGAACACTACGACCAGAACAATTGATTTATTGGTTATTTAAAAAAAATTAAGTTAAAATTTTTTTGAGGCGAGTAGTCTTTTTATGAATATTAAAACACAGACTGAAGACACGTAGCTCTAATAACTTGGTGATATAGATACTTCTTGTTTTCTAACTTCGAATCGATTTAATAACTATTAAAATTAATTTAAATATAATTATTTATCCCAAAAAATGGGAGAACATGTAATGTTTAGTCAATTAATTAATTAATTACCTTGACACATGTTAGGGTCCGTACTGTTTATTCTGTATCCTGAGTTGCAGGAACACTCGAAGCTTCCAATTGTGTTGGTGCATGTATGCTGACATAGTGTTTGATTGGAATCCGTGCATTCATCAATGTCTGAAATAATGATGTAGTCGAAAAAAAAGCGACAAGAAAAATACCAAAATACTTAAACATTCACAATGTTATATTTTGTTGCGACACCCCCCCCCCCTTCTGAGCTAAACTATATTTTTTAAGCTGACCTAATGAAAAAAAAAGGTATGCATATCAATGTGAAAAAGTTACTTTTATATATATATACACACAAATTATATAGTGTGAAAAATTGCACACATTTTAAATCATATATGATTTACTCTTACATTGAAGATCACAAGGTGTTTGTGAGGCAGGGGAAGCGTTGTAAATAATAGAAAAAACATGGAACAATAACAAAACGCCATAATCTAAGAAGCTTACATAGGAGAGTGGAAGTAATTGAACTTTACGTCGCCCATAAAAATCTGATGATTAGCTTATATAAGGCTGTAGCTTAAAGTTTGAAAGAATTGTTTTGAAATTTGATCCTTGAAATATTTCGAGACTCATGATGTAAGTGCGCATTGACTTTTATTAGTGACTTTTACTTTTTCCAGAGTTACATGTGCAAGAGTGTTTTTTTTCGTACACTGAACTGACTGCCAGTATTAGGCTTTACATAGTGCACCATATTTACTCTAGTCCTATTATCTAGCTGCAGAATTGCTGTCTTTGATTTTCGAAGGCTTTTAATAAACCTGCTTTGACGTAGTTGCATACAGGTTCTTATTGTTTGGGTACCAGGACATGTTTTGTAAATTCCCCCTCTCCTATCAAAGAGCTTCCCTTGATGTATTATTTATATAGGTAAAATCTATAAACACATTTTTTCAAAAAAACTATATGAACTAAATAATTAATTTGGTTGTTGTTTAAGTAATTTTAGTTTAGCAACATTTTGTGGCGTGAAGTCTATGTTATGTAAATAAAAACTTAAACTGAGTACACGTAATGATAATATAGATAGTTTAGATACTTCTTGTTTTCTAACTACTTATAGATTTAACATCGGTACAAATTAAATACAATTATTAATAACACGTATTGATAAATTGTAATGTTTAGGAAATTAATTAATTAATTACCTTGACACATGTTAGTGTTTGTACTGTTTATTCTGTATCCTGAGTTGCATGAACACTCGTAGCTACCTATTGTGTTGGTACATGTATGCTGACATATTGTTTGATTGGAATTTGTGCATTCATCAATGTCTGAAATAGTGATGTTTCTCAAAATAATAACATAAAAGCTAGAAAAAAACTTATGTAATCATAGTGTCATATGACTTGCTGGGGTAAATATATAGTGTTTTACTTAGCTGATTTTAAAAAAACGTATGCATATCAATGTGTAAAAGTTACTTATACATATATGCACATTTTAAAATGTGCAAAATGGCACACATTTAAATCGAATATGATTTATTCATGTATTGCAGAAAGCAACTTGCGTATGAAGGAGGGGGGATGGGTGTACATATAGTATAGACATTTTAAAAAAACAATTTAAAAAAGCCTGTATAAACATGTATATAAAAAAGGTAAATGATTTTTTATAAAATTCAAATTTCGTAGTGTAAAAAAAGGCAAACATTCAAATATTCTATTACATATCTGCCCTTTACAGCCAATAAAGGACATGTGTATTATTTAGTTCGTTTTTGGGCGGGGGTGGGGGTGTAGAAATATACCCAAATATATATCAAAAACTACAATGCACCTCTCGTGTTAAGTTTTTTTAGGAGGTTGATGTGAGGATAAGGTTTCGTTTTCGAACCTGAAGGTCCATGTAACAAGAGCAGTAGAGTTTATCCGTTTCTGTAACCTCAGCATTGAACGGAGAGAGTGGTCAGCACTATGTCAAGCAGGTTTTACTCTCGATAACCTGAGTTAGGCACACATCAGAGCTGTTATAGGCCCAATAGGATTTCTAATGCACGATGACATTTCAACACTTTTGATTTTCGTCTTACAATGACAGTTTGTTAAACCGCCTTTTATAGAAACTATTAATCTCTTGAAGTCAAACATAGATAAAGTTTTCGATATACTGGCATCCGGCAAATTTGCACTAGTTAAATAAACTTCAAGTTTGGCTGCCGAAAATATAAAATAAAATTCAACTCTAAAAAAAGTCGCATACATGTGTAACAGAAGCAAAAAGCGTAGTGTTATGTGGGTTTGATGCAATGTGGGCACTTAAACTTCAACACAAGCGTATTTTAATGACGATATTGTTAGTGTTAGCGACATCATTATTTCCAACAAGATCCAAAGGGAGAGGAGCAGTAGCGTAGCGAGGTCGGGTGTCACCCGGTGCGGCATTTAATGGTGTCACCCCCCAGAGGCTCAGTGTCACCCCCGCCCTCCCTCGCTACGCCTCTGGAGAGGACCTCTCGTAAGGCAGTTGAATGATAGACTTGTGTTAATAACATTTGTTTGAATCGTCCAGCCGGTTTTAGCCTGTTCTTTTCTTACTACCTTATTAAGACTTCATAACACGATTAATAGGCATCCTTTATTATTTTTCGGCTCCAAGATTTCTGCAGATTAGTTATGTCGAAACCGTACTTTAGCGTCTAATCAGAGGCGTAACGAGGGGGGGGGGGGCGGGGGTGCGGACCGCACCGGGTGACACCATTTAGGGGGTGACACCAAGGCAAAAAATAGCAAAATATATAGAGAAAAACTTGAGGGGGGTGCAAATCGAATGTTTGATGGGGGGGGGGGGGGTGACACCATTAAGTGCCGCACCGGGTGACACCCGACCTCGCTACGCCACTGCGTCTAATTAAATATCCACATAACTCTGTGTTTTGGGCCGATTGATTTTTATAACAGAGATTTCCCTATAGAATAAAACTAAATAAACGACATTACCTTGACACTTGTGTGGGTTTCTGCTGCTGACAACGTATCCTGGCCTACATGAACAAACACGACGTCCGTTGTTATAAGTTGTTATTTGTTCACAGTGGCAACTGGCTGTAAAACACACAATAGTGACGTCAGTGTTGTATTGGGTAAAAATTCTTGATGTCTACGACTGTTGACCGAAAGTCAGAAGCTTAGTGTACTTTGCCCCCAGTGCTTTTACACTAAGTCCTTTTGTTTAAAAGTTCGAGACTTTACGCGGATTGTCGGATAATTGTAAAATGGGAGGGGTCGGCGTGGTCGAGTCGGTAAAGCTCATGGTTGCTAAACCGAAAAGTCTCGAGTTCGAACCCTCGGGCAGATGAGGCTCGTTAGCTGGGGACAGCCACTCTTCTAGGAGAGACAACTCCAAAATTAAACAACTGCTGCCTTGTAGTGTGTTCTTGGTTGGACAAAGGCTATGGAAGCAAATCCAAAAAGAAAAGCAGGCTGAAATCGGAGTTAATGGCCTCAATGGCGCATAACCAGTTGACACGTAACGCTTAATTGTGTTGGAGGCGTGGTCCAGTCGGCAAAAAGCTCATGGTTGATACATTCGAATAAAGTCTCGAGTTCAAACCCACTGGCAGATAAATCTCGATCCCCTTCAAACACTGATAATTAAGAACGAAGAAGAAGAAGAAGAATGTAAAATGGGAGTGTCAGTGTGGCTAATATATCACAGGCAATGTATACACGGATAAATAAGGATGAAGTACTTAATCTGATTCTGTTAATCTTATCGTTGGTTTGCTTCATTTCTAATATGTAGCATTGCCCTTTTATTCAGTTTGATTATTTAAAAAAATGCTTTGTTGAAATACATATAAAATTTAAATGCCTCGACTGACTAAATAAAATAAACACAAAGCCATTTAAATCTACCCTAAATTCTGGGAAAACAAGTACATTGTCTTGAATATATTTTTTTTAAACTGTTGTAGTATTTGTCGTTAAACAAATAATACGAACATTATAATACTGTAAACAAAAAAACATACCGTGCGAATATAATGGGCACAAAAGCAGTAACTCTGCAAGGATTATTATGAAATAATGGACCTTCATTTTGGCACAAAGTTGTTGGCGAATTTATTCTGTCAACAAAAAAACACCTTAAGTTATTTAACAAATAGGTTAAAACGTAAAAAAACACAACCATAAACACGTTTTAATAACAAGGTTTTATGTATCATAATATATAAAAGACCATGTGCGCACTTCTCTCTCTCTCTCTCTCTCTCTCTCTCTCTCTGTCCGAAAAATATTTTCGCAGGGTATCACATCAGAATCTTGAGCGATATATGGAGAACTTTATACTGACTTTTGTTGAAAATAATATGGTAGATGTTTTAAATGTATAGCCAACGTTTTATTTAAAGAAGAACAATAAAAAATAAAGGCATATCCGAATGTAGAACAACAGTTTTAATTATGCAACAGAAAAAGTGTTTGTACTTGTGAAAAATAACCCATGAAACAATGAAGTCACTAATGTTAATACATTAATTAATGACGTCATCTACCGAGTTTAGAAATGTTTTGTAGGAAAAAAAAATCTACCGAGTTTAGAATAAAAAGAAATGAACTATTTCATTCAAAATTGATTTAGATCTACGTACGCTATAAAATGTATACAATACAATTTTTCCGACCTAAACTTATAAAATTTATTTTATCTAGGTATTTGGATTTTAGATCTAGAGATTCTAGATCTAGACTAGATCTAAATCTACGCGAAAACTAGACGTAGACGCTAAGATCTAGATTTAGACTCTATCTACTCTAGAATCTATTCCAAAAATAAATTTCTATATTAAACTATTTCAGGCTTTAATTATTTTATAGGAATCTTTTTTTTGTTTAGCTATAGAACTGTCTAATTTGGGATAAAAAAATAATTTGAAAGAATATGCATATTTGCGTTTAAGTTAAGTTTTTTTAAATACCTCTTTCATTCTCCATGTTTCATAATGTGCCTAAATAGCTGAGATGATAGTGTACTTAAAACCACGCAGGTGGTGCGGGATCGAGACACACTAAGTCAAATTTAATTCTTTTTTAATTATATGTGAATCTTTCGATTTTATACTACAAAGAAAGGAACTACTTTATTCAAAATTGATTTAGATCTAGATGCATAGATCTACTCATCAAGACGTACACTATGAAATATATACAATTTTATAGGTCAAACTAATACAACTTACTTAAAAACAACATAATGACCATTGAATAGCCAGATTTTTAACGGAATCGTTTAAGTCACTTAATCAGTGTGTTCCTGTATTATGTTAAATGTGTCGGATTTTTAGCTAATTAGTTATTTCTGTGCTTTGTCACAAATATCGTTCAGCGTGTAGTAAAGAAACTTGCGTTTTGATCAATAACTATTTCATAAATTATTTTTCTCAAACAAGTACAACACTTTAAAATATATAGGCCTATAATTCACGAGAAACGGGCACCGATGGCTAGTTAATACAATAAAAAGGAGAAAATAGATCATTTAAAAAATGTATAATAAAGAACTACTATTTAAACTAATAAAAACAAGTAATACTTGAAAGATTTTTAGTATAATATACTAAACATCTGTATAGTATCAAGCTTTAAAATGCACTGAAAAAGGAAAATTGCTTTCTTTCATAAAATTTTGGTCGCCAAAATAAATGTAAAAGATCTCATAAGAAAATAGAGTTTTAAAATCAACCCATAAATTAGAGTAAACACAAATAATAAAAATGTGCGTCCACAATTATCTATCTATCTATATAAAAAGCAAAGTGTGTCTGTTTGTGTGTTTGTCTGTCTGTCTTTTACGCCATGGAACTTTGGGAAGTTGTGGAGAATACTTCCGGGGAGGTTTATGCGAAAAGAAAAATTTCAAATTTGCAGCGGTGGCGTCCCGGCAGGGCGCGATTTGTTTTTTCTCTATATACGGTATACAAAAATAAAAGTCGATACGGTTTGACACTGTTCATCCGATCGCCATGAAACTTTGGAGAGTTGACTACAAAAGTCCAGGGATCGGGCGCGTAAACTCTCGCTCCTGCGGGGTGCGCTTTGGCGCCCTAGGCTTTCATGCGAGCGCTGTGGTGCTTACGTTCTCTCTAAACATTGCAATATGCAATGGATAAGATGGGGCGTTATAGTCGCTCATTAAATTCAATTAGGCGAGTTTGCCGGCACCCTGGCAGTGTGCATTTTGACATGCCGGGCTACACCGTGACGCTTTGGCTCATATTTTGCTTTTAAGGAGCATCCTACAATATTGACTAGAAGTAACACAATATTCGATGATCACATCGAGCCTGGTGTTGTATGCGGCGCCCCTGTTGTAGTGTAATCGGGGGCTAAGGAGAGCGCCCTCTACGTCCCCGACATGTAGGCGATAAGTTATTAATAGCGCTATTACGGTTAGTGATTAACGTACACTATAGCAGTAGTGTAGATAAACCCGTGTCCCGATAAATATGATCAAAGCACAGACATTTTTTACATTTAATAACTCAGTCATAAAAAACAAGGTCACGCGTCTAGGAATATAGGATAGGTAGAGCATTGATGAAACCCTCCTAAAATATTTCGTCACACTTTATTTGTCTATTATACATTTTAACACCTGTCATCCGATCGCCACGAAACTTTGAAAAGTCGTTGAGAATACATCTGGTGAGATTTGTGCCGCTGGGTACAATTGCTGGGTGCAATTAGGCACCCAGGGTTCTCCTGTGAGCGCGATAGCACCTACGTTCAGAGACGTAGCGAAAGGGGGGGCGGGGGGTGACACTAAGGCAAAAAATAGCAAAATAGATAGAGAAAAATGATAATTCCACTAAATCAAGTTATTAATTCGAGTGTTAAATAGTGTTTTAAGAGGTGCAAATCAAAAGCTTGTGAGGGGGGGGGGGGAATGTGTGCAAATCTAATGTTCGAGAGGGGGGTGCAAATCAAAAGTTTGAGGGGGGAGGTGATGCGAATCGAAAATTGAAAGTTTGTCCCCGGGAAGGGTCGCTAAGCCTCTGTGAGTTGACACCATTAAGTGCCACACCGGGTGACACCCGACCTCGTTACGCCACTGCCTACGTTCGTTTTAAAAAGTGCGATAAACTATGAATACATGGGGCATTATAGTCGTTCACTAAACTGAATCAGGCGCGTCCGCCGACGCCCCTGTAGGATACGATTTGCCCCGGGCAGTCTTCGGACTTTCTTTTTTGCCCGTAGCTATTATTCTATATATTATTAAGTGTTATTGATAACTTATTACCATAAACATAACGAAATTATCGGCTCAAAACGGCTATGTTATTAATTTAATTTATTTAATTAAAATGCACGAAACTTTACGCGGATTGTCGGATAAATGTTAAATGATAGTCAGTGTGGCTCATATATTACAGGTAAGGTAGATACAGATATATGATATGCATGCATTACTGAACTGTAATTTTTTAAATCTTATCGTTTTTATTGCATCATTTCTGCGCACGCACGGATAGTCGGTTTGACGGATAGGAACACGAAAAGTGTGCGTATAGTAACGCCATAAATGAGACTTTATATAGGAAAGATTTTAATTAAGTAACATTTGATTTCAGATTGCATTGTTTATGGGTTTTTTACACACTTTCAAAGTTTCAGATGCATTGTTTGGCAACAATCATCGAAATTAGACTCACGAGTTTCGATTGATCTCGAAGCACTTAGCAAGTCTAAACATAGACAAAAGTACAAGAAAGCAAGTTAAATAAAAGCTTGTAAAAACTGTGAACAAACATTACGCACAACCTTTCTAAAAACACTTCTTAAATAAGTTTTTAGATAACATTAGTGACGCTATGACACAAATCAATACTTAGGACGTATGAACATGGGCTTATTAATAACATTGCCTCACAAGTCAGGATATTACGCTTGCTAAACTTTTTATTGAAAAAAATATGATACAATTGATTTTTAAAAAAGCAGTAAAGTTAAAATGCAAAAGAATTAATGCAATCAGCCAAAAATAAGTTTGAAAAAAACTAAATTAAAAAAAAAACATGAGCTGTTGTTAAAAAAATCAGAATAAAAGTAATAAAAATGTTTTCTACATTTAAAAAAAAACAACACATTGAACTAATCCCTACAATAAAACTGGGTAGAAGCCGTCATCTGATCTTCTTTTCTAGATAACCAAAAACTTACAAACGTTGCTATTCAAAATGCCAGGCTTGGAGAATGCTGTAGAATTTTAAACATACGTAGTATAGTTAATAAAAATATTAAATTACATATTCAACCAACAAACGATCAAAACAGACTCACCAGTCAATATGTTGATCTGTTCAAAACAGGCAAGTAGATCCTGAAGCGCCGCGTGTGGTATTTTTTATAAGGTCTAGGATTAATCTGTAGCCAATCAGAAGACAGACGTCCAATAAAAAACCATAGGCGACGCCATAATTTTTAACAGCCTAAAATATATTCTCTAACATGCATATCTCCCTGAATAGTGCACAGCCATACGTTAAAAGTTATTGCTAATTATACGCACCCTGATAAACGTTCGGAAAAAAATTAAACAATATGTGTAAACATTTCATTTACTCCATCGAATACCGAAGAAACAAAAACTTCATTGTATAAAAAAAAAATCTATACAATAACCAAATAAAGAACAAGTGATCTCCCGTAAACTTTCTAGAACAATCTTAGATAACAATGTAAAAGGCAACCCCAGAGCAGTCGGGATAAAGACCTTTTTTTATAAATATTTTCAAATACTTACATTTTTAAACAGAATAACTGCGTATTAAATGAACTGACAATAATCTGTAATTTATTTATAACGAAAGACAGAATAATCAAATAAAAAATATAATATATATATATATATATATATATATATATATATATATATATATATATATATATATATATGCGTTTTTTAAGAAATCGGAAAAAGGGTAAAGTACTTCATAGAATTAGATCTTCTACATATACGTGGAATATTTTCTATTTAACTTAAAAAGAGTACTATAGGCTTTTGAAAAACCGAAAGAAGACTAAGTTCCACTTCTGGTTACCGGAAATCGCTAAAAAAATTCTACGGAACTATAATATTGATATAATACGTATATGAAATTTTATCAACTTAGTTTTTACGTTGCACAAGCTATCGTATTCACAGAAAAACAGACAGACACACACATAAACAGACATAACATTTTTCGACTCAGTGAGGTATAAAAATTTCGAAATTTGTGAAAATCTTGTTTTAAATTTTTGTGAATATTACAATATTTTACCTATACTCCTTGTAGGAGAAAGTAAAAACAAACACTCCATCGAAAAACTAAAAAAGCAAACGCCTATGTTAGCTGAGACAGTTAATGATGCGGATCATCGACAGGTGTCCGCCTCTCTCTTTTTGTCTAGTGACGTCTTGTCCTTTCTCATTGATCTCCCCTACGGAAAGTTTTTCTTAGTTGTTTCAACCTCCGCTGCAAGAAAAACATATTTACTGCAATGGTTCCCAAAAGGGGTATAAAGCCCCATCAGGGTCGTCAAGATAGTCGTGGAGTCGATTGAAAGATTCGACGCATTAGACGATCGATTGTAAAAATATTCGGTCGATGAAAAAATGTGTAAGTGTATAAAATAAGGTTGTCGCTCGCGGTCAGTTTTCAGCTCTTAGCGCGGTCTGGGAGGCTGATCCTTATTTTTCAGATATGGTCAAATGAATTATTAACTCGAAAATAATTGCCCCCCCCCCCCCTAAGCGACTATGGTTCAGGCTGGCTGATGATTAGAGCCCCAATCTAGACCAAATTGTTCATGCTGGCTGATGATAAGAGCCACACTATATTCCAAATTGTTCATGCTGGCTGATGATAAGAGCCACATTCTAGACCAAATTGTTCATGCTGGCTGATGATAAGAGCCACACTATATTCCAAATTGTTCATGCTGGCTGATGATAAGAGTCACATTCTAGACCAAATTGTTCATGCTGGCTGATGATAAGAGCCACACTATATTCCAAATTGTTCATGCTGGCTGATGATAAGAGCCACATTCTAGACCAAATTGTTCATGCTGGCTGATGATAAGAGCAACACTCTAGACCAAATTGTTCATGCTGTCTGATAAGAGCCACTTTCTAGAACAAATTGTTCATGCTGATGATAAGATCCCCACTCTAGACCAAATTGTTCATGCTGGCTGATGATAAGAGCAACACTCTAGACCAAATTGTTCATGCTGGCTGATGATAAGAGCCACATTCTAGACCAAATTGTTCATGCTGGCTGATGATAAGAGCCACATTCTAGACCAAATTGTTCATGCTGGCTGATGATAAGAGCCCCACTCTAGACCAAATTGTTCATGCTGGCTGATGATAAAAGCCCCACTCTACACCAAATTGTTCATGCTAGCTGATAAGAGCCACACTCAAGACCAAATTGTTCATGCTGGCTGATGATAAGAGCCACATTCTAGACCAAATTGTTCATGCTGGCTGATGATAAGAGCCACATTCTAGACCAAATTGTTCATGCTGGCTGATGATAAGAGCCACATTCTAGACCAAATTGTTCATGCTGGCTGATGATAAGAGCCACATTCTAGACCAAATTGTTCATGCTGGCTGATGATAAGAGCCCCACTCTAGACCAAATTGTTCATGCTGGCTGATGATAAAAGCCCCACTCTACACCAAATTGTTCATGCTAGCTGATAAGAGCCACACTCAAGACCAAATTGTTCATGCTGGCTGATGATAAGAGCCACATTCTAGACCAAATTGTTCATGCTGTCTGATGATAACAGCCCCACTCTAGACCAAATTGTTCATGCTGGCTGATAAGAGCCACTTTCTAGACCAAATTGTGCAGGTTCGCTGATGATAAGATCCCCACTCTAGACCAAATTGTTCATGCTGGCTGATGATAAGATCCCCACTCTAGACCAAATTGTTCATGCTGGCTGATGATAAGAGCCACATTCTAGACCAAATTGTTAATGCTGGCTGATGATAAGAACCCCACTCTAGACCAAATTGTTAATGCTGGCTGATGATAAGAGCCACATTCTAGACCAAATTGTTCAGGCTAGCTGATGATAAAAGCCCCACTCTAGACTAGACCAAATTGTTCATGCTGGCTGATGATAAGAACCCCACTCTAGACCAAATTGTTAATGCTGGCTGATGATAAGAGCCCCACTCTAGACCAAATTGTTCAGGCTAGCTGATGATAAAAGCCCCACTCTAGACTAGACCAAATTGTTCATGCCCCACTCTATACAAAATTGTTTATGCTGGCGTAAGGATGCGATCTAAAATCTAGAAGAAAAATAAGTTACAGCATTGAAGTGTAAAAGATATCAAACGGAAGAGCTCAGGTACCAACATTGGATGCTGATAAAAGACACGTTATATCTCTTAGAAAAAGAGATCTGACAGCGAAGGCAAGTGATGCCATGTGTCAAATATTTATCTTCCCCTGATTGTGTGTGTGTCGTGTGCTCGAACAACAGTTACCCTCCTTGTGTACACAGGTGTAGCTCGTGATTGAGCTGTTATAGATCGAGAAGTGCTCACGCGTGAATTGACAGTTGACTGGTGACAGAGCGTGTGTTGGTGTGTTAAATGGTATATGTTGAGAGAGGACTTGGACGATGTAACCGATACAGCTACGTTTAACTGTGGTAATCGATACAGCTACGTTATATCGATGTAATCGATACAGCTACGTTTAATCGATGTAATCGACACATCTACGTTTAATCGATGTAATCGATACAGCTACGTTTAATTGATGTAATCGATACAGCTACGTTTAATCGATGTAACCGATACAGCTACGTTGAATCGATGTAATCGACACATCTACGTTTAATCGATGTAATCGATACAGCTACGTTTAATCGATGTAATCGATACAGCTACATTGAATCGATGTAACCGATACAGCTACGTTTAATCGATGTAATCGACATATCTACGTTTAATCGATGTAATCGATACAGCTACGTTTAATCGATGTAATCGATACAGCTACATTGAATCGATGTACTCGATACAGCTACGTTTAATCGTGGTAATCGATAGTGCTACATTGAATCGATGTAATCGATACAGCTACGTTTAATCGTGATAATCGATAGTGCTACGTTGAATCGGTGTAATCGATACAGCTACGTTTAATCGCTGTAATCGACACATCTACATTTAATCGATGTAATCGATACATCTACGTTTAATTGATGTAATCGATACATCTACATTTAATCGTGGTAATCGATAGTGCTACGTTGAATCGGTGTAATCGATACTGCTACGTTTAGTCGATGTAATCGATACAGCTAAGTTTAATCGATGTAATCGATACAGCTAACTGGTATGTGCGCTTAGGTTTTTATGTTTATCTTGGTCCATCCAAGGTCAACCGAACACAAAGAGTCTCATGTTTGTATGAGGAAACTGACAGCTAAACTACCAACTACTGATTAATGGATACCATAACAATATTATTTCTAAGAGATGAGATTAAGCCAGAGATTGACATTACTAAAAAAATATAGCATAATTTGTTTACAATATATTATTTGCTTATTACTTTTGGCAGATAAGGCTCGATCCCTTCAAACACTAAAAATTAAGAACGAAGAAGAAGAAGTTTAAAGCATCAACTACTGACCCAGACTGACCACCATTATATTAGACTATGCATTGTGTTTTCACAGAGATATAGCTGACGTCACGCGCATTCAAGATTAACAAAAAGCACACATTATTTCTATATATTATGTTTAAGCTTCAAAAACAGCAACGACATAAACACAACGCTAACTCGTTAATGTATAATAAAATACAGAATGCAGACATGGGCTAGTCAATAATGTTGGCGAATTTTGCAACATATGTAGTAGTCATAACTAAACAACGCTGTTGTGTAATACGACCCCTTCCCCCCCCTCCGAAAGTATTCTCAAACAAAGTAAATAAAAACTATAGACACACAGACACTGATTTTTATTTTCTATTATACGAAGCAAAGAGGAAGTAATGTATTCGAAAAAAATCGATTCGAGATTTTCACAAATCTCTACGCTAAACATCTTCCTGAGTCGGAAAATGTTAGTTATGCAATTTAGTCTGTTTGTCTGTCGATAATTTGAGTAGCGTTTTATTTATGTTGACGAAATTTCATATTTAAGTATTTTAACAAGAGTGTCAACGTTTAAACAAATTCTGTTGAGGGGTAGTCCATTAATGACGTCACACTCGTAGGGGTGAGGGGGACGGTCCGTAATTTTGTGACGGTGTGTGATGAAGGGTAGGAGAGGGTGGTAGATGGTG